AATTCAGAAACAATGATTGAATTCTTCGAGTCATGCAGTCATTTTCACCCTCTCTTTCCAAATTATTCCTCCCTGCTGAGGTTCCTATCCAATCTATCAAGCTTTGTTGTTAATTTGATCCTATATGGATAGGTCTTAAAATTCTGCCCTAATGCTCAAGGCAGAATTCTTTCATCAGTTAAGCTAACGTATTTTTGGTTTTAAGAAGACTTCCCAGAATATTTTTGGTTTCATATTTAAAGATTATCTCAGGGAAATAGTCTCAGAGGTCTACCCACTAAATATTACTTTTATGAGAAGAAAGAATCTACCTGAATATATGAGAAGGGAAAAGTTAAATTAACTATGGTAACCAATGATTGTACTCTTAGGTATATACCCAGCAGAAATGAATATATATGTTCACCAAAAGGTGTGCACAAAATGTTTATAACAGCACTATTCATGATATTTCAAAACTGGAACTATCTCAAATGCCCATCTATAAGTGAAAGACATGTATAATGTAGAGTATGAGCATATAAAGCACTATTATACACTCATGAGAATGAACAAACTGCTGGCAAACTCAGTAACATGGACAAATTTCAGCAACATGAATTTGACCAAAAAGAGTATACACTGCATCATTACATTTTGAAAATGTTCAAAAATAAGTAAAACTAAAATTAATTATGATATGACCATGAAATGAGATATCATGTTCCTATTAAATCATTTAAAGACATTGGGAAATGCTCATAAGTTAATGAAAGATCTAAACCTGTACATGTACTATATGACCCCCTTTCTGGATAGAAATGTATACATGAGTTGTTATGGATCTAAATAAGAGATATATTATACACTCAATTATGATAATTGGAGTGGGATTTAGGAAAGGAGAACCACAAGGAATAGGGCACTTACTCTGTATTAATAGCAATGGAGCTGTTACTCCTACTAGACTTGAAGAGACAAAGGGAGGTACAGTTACTAAAACACAGGAGAAAAGTGCCGAGAGGAGCCCTCCTGAAAGGAGAGTGACCTTTGAGTGAAGGATATAGCCTGGTTATCGTGCATTAACAGGAAAGAAAATAGGGGGGGGAGCTCTGGTAGCATAGTGGCTAAGACCTTGCCTGCTAACCAGACGGCTGGCGGTTCAAACCCATCAGCCACTCCTCGGAAGGAAGGTTGGGCAATCCTACTTCCGTAGTGATACTGCCTCGGAAACCCAAGGAGGGGTCGCTATGAGTTGGGGCCGACTCGACAGCACATAACAACAACAACAACAACAAGTCTCCTTCATTCAGTCTCCTTCTCTTCTTGGTCTCCTGCCCAGGATCCCCATTAACCACACCCACTGGAAGCAGAGGACTCACTGCTGTGGTCCAGACAGACAGCAGGGTGTGCAAGGGTGGGGCAGGGACATGAAAATGGTAAATGGCAGGTTTCCAACACAAGACACTCACATCATCCGTAGGACTGATTTCTTTGACTACCTATGAGAGTGGAAATACTGAGAGATACTCAATCTTTTTTCTTTTATATCGTTATATTTTTTATTGATGTAGTAATATATGCATTTATTTTTAGTCTGGTAAACAATACGTGTCAGTGTGTGTGTGTATGCTTGTGAGGTGTCTGTGTGAATGAGTGTGGATATGTGAGGTGGTAAAGCAGGGGATGTGAAGGAGCATCTCAGTTCTCTAGTGCTGCTCTAAGGGAAATGCCAGAAGTGAATGGCTTTAACTAACAGAAATTTATTATCTTACAGGTTAGGAGGCTAGAAGTTCCATTTCAAAGTGTCTGCTGCAGAGGCTGGGTGTTGGCCCCTCAACCTTGGCCTTTTATTCCAGGCCCACTGGAGACTTCATTTAATTCAGGCAGCGGCAGGCTGCTAAGGATGACGAAACTAAGACCAACAAGTAAAATGGCACAATCCCAAAATTAGCAAACATGGCAGCCCACTAGTTCAAGTACAGGAACAATCCCCAAATTGGCAGGCCAGTGAGATGAAGCCTTGGTCAAATGCAAGATCCAGATGTGCCAAAAGCTGGAGACCTGTCTCAAAGCTCCTCCATATATACTGGAAGCAGGTCATACGTATCCTGAAGGTAACTACTTAGCTGTTCACGGAAGATTCACCATGGCATGATTATAATCTCATCATGGGCAATAACTATATCCAGCTGCCCAGCCACTCAAAACCATAGCCCAGCCAAGTTGACACACAATGTTCACTACCACAAGGAGTGGGTTAGTGACAGTGTATGTGAGGATGTCCAGGTGGATGTGAGACATGGTGTGTGTGTAAGGAGTGTATGTGTGTGTCTATAAGTGTATGAATGTAAATTACTGTGTGGGTGTGGGTGTGGGGTGTGTCTAAGGAAGTATGATTGTGAGAGCATGTGCATGTATATGAGGATGTACAGTTCATTTGGGATGGTGTGATTGTGTGTCTATAGTACTGTAGAGAGAAGGGATTATTCCCTGGAGAAGGAAATCATGTTTGTAAAGTGGAGGGTCAACAAAAAAGGGGAAGGCCCTCAACAAGATGGATTGACACAGTGGCTACAGTGATGGGCTCAGGTATAGCAAGGATTGTGAGGATGGCAAGGACCAGGCAGTGTTTCGTTCTGTTGTACACAGGGTCCCTATAAGTTGAAGCTGACTCCATGATCCCTAACAACATCAACCCACAACATAGAACTATGTGTGAGTGTATGAGAGCTGGGAGTGGGGTATGTGAGGGAATGTGTGAAAAAGTATGCGCATGTTTGAGGGTATACAAGTGGAGTGGTACTCTGTGTGTGTGCGTGTGTGTGTGGACTGGGGCATGTATGTGTGTTTGAGGTGCATTCGTGAGAGGTGTGTGGGAGGGCATGTGTGTGTGTTTGTCAGGGCATGTGGATAGTGAACAAGCCCTTCAGGTACAGTGGTTAAGCCCTCAGATGGTAACTGATTGATTGACAGTGTGAAGGGATTTATATGTGTTAGCATTAGTGCATATGAATACATATGTGAGCTTATATACAACTATGTTTACTGTAGGGTCACTATTAGGTCTCTATGAGTCAGGATCAACTTGACAGCAACGGGATTGGTTTGGGATATGCACATACATAGAAACATCTCCCTCCAGGAAAAGAAATTGGGAGAAAATATGCCAAAGTATTCATAGAGTGATCTCTGGTAGCAGAATAAAAGACAAATTTCATTTCTTCTTGAAAAAATATTATATTTGTGGCAACATATAAAAAGTGAAAATCTTGACTAATGAAATGTTTTTAGTATCAGTGTGTTTGGAAATTATTGTTAGCTGCCATGGAGTCAGCTCTGACTCATAGCAATTTTA